GGTTAAGCATTAACAGAGGAGCCCTGGTGGCACAGTGGTTAAGCATCTGGGTGCTAACCAAAAGGCTGGTGATTTGAACCCACCAGCCACTCCACAGGGGAAAGATGTGGCAGTCTGTAAAGATTACAGCCTTGGAAACCGTATGGACGGTTCCACTCTGTCCTGTACAGTCGCTGTGAATCACAATCGACTTGACGGTAATGGGTTTCAACCATTGACAGCTTATTATATCTGTGATTATTTTCTGTTAATTTTCACGTGTCTATCCATGCCTAGATGTTGAGTGCTGACTTATTTCGTCATCCTCATCAATATACTGATACACATTAGTAAATCATTTGTACACATTTTTTTTTAATTGCTTGTATTGTTTCTTTTCACAGAATTCAACAAGTCCACCACTTAAGCTGTCAAATGTGGAACGGATTACAAATGTACAGATTTTGATTTTATTTGGTATCTTAATTGCCATGTCTCTTATCTGTTCTGTGGGCTCAGCCATTTGGAATCGAAGGCATTCTGGAAAGGACTGGTATCTCAATCTAAACTGTAAGCATTAAAATTCCCATTACTCTTATTTTCTTTCTTTCATTAAAGCATGTATTTGTTTCACAATTAAGTTGATCTTGATTTATTTTGTGGACTTTCCTGTTTCTAAAAAGAAGACCAAGTTGCAAAGCTAACTGGACATTTAATCTTTATTTTTTAATGAGATTTTAGTAAAAGAAAAAAAATTAGAATCCCTAAAAGTTTAGAATCCTTAAAAACATAATGAGCACTCCCTAGTAGTATAAAATGTTCAGTAAATATAACCATTTAACATGAAACTTGTTTAAAAATATTTTTACACAGATAGTTAGATAGCTATCTGGTAAGGAAGGCAGATTATGTGTGGAGGATATAATAAATATGCTTATTTTTTTAAAGCACAAAAAAGTAGTTCACATGCTTTAAAAATATTTAAATTGAATGTACTTTCATTTGAACTCATGAATGCAGTCATCTTGCAGCACTTATCCTTTGACTGTTGTGGTATTAATTACCACTCAGGATATTTCTAACAAGTGACTTTGCATTTCCATTTGATGAGTACTTAGCCAGTAAATACTTAATTTCCAAAAGTGTGCAAATTCCAGTAAAATCTTGTAGCAAAATCCTATTTTCAGTTATTTTTATTACATTTGTTTAGCTTTGCAGCTATTCCAAGTTATTTGTACAGCCATTGATTTGCTATTTCAACTTTAAAACTGTTACTGCTATCATCAATTTGTGTCTTCGTACACTTTACAATATATATTTTGGATAAGTTTTTGATTTTCATTATTGAGAAGGAAGAGTATAATTTATCTAGGACTGTTTAGTACTCATAGTTTAGGTTGTTTTTGCTACTGTTTTGTGTGTTTGCTTTTAAAGCATGCTTTAAATTGGAAATACATTTCAGGAATTTTTATAAAGGTGATTCTACCCAATAGAAATGTTATATTTCTAAACCCTCAGTGTTGTCCCTAATATCGGAAAACGTTCTGTTTGAAACAGGATCTTAAATACTTGATAGTACTTTCACTTTCAGTACCATTATGCAGTTCTTAATAGGATTAACAATAAATTGAATGCAAATAATATCATTCCATCTTGAAGAATATATTTGAGAATAAAGATATGTCATCAGCATATTTTGCCTCCCGAATTGTCTAGATATACTCTATATTAAAATTCTTTGTATGCTGAAGTTTTGGTCAATGCAAATGAACTATAAAATTGTAAATGACTTTTTTCCCACCTCCTCCCACAGATGGTGGCGCTAGTAATTTTGGATTGAATTTCTTGACCTTCATCATCCTTTTCAACAATCTCATTCCTATCAGCTTGTTGGTTACATTAGAAGTGGTGAAATTTACCCAGGCATACTTCATAAATTGGGTAAATAGAAATTATTATTGTTTTCATCAACCTAAACATACATAGTGTCTTTTTTCCTATGATAGGGTCTTTTGATCTCTCAGAAAAAATCTTAATTATACCTACCGAATACCTACAAGGAGCCTTGGTAGCACAGTGGTTAAGAGTTCAGCTGCTAACTGAAAGGTCAGCAGTTCAAGCCCACCAGCAGTCTGTTTCCAAAGCCTTGGAAACCCCAGGGGCTGTTCTGCCCCTCTCCTATAAGGGTTGCTGTGAGTCAGAATCGACTTAACAGCAGCAAGTTTACTGACTACAAGATGGATTTCAAAATATTTTTGAGCCTAATAAAATGATAACAAAATCCCCCACCTTCAAATTACACAAGTTTACAGACCAGACATTCTGGGAAAAATAGGTTTGTAGTTCAGGAAACTTATTTTGTGTTACCTAGGGGTCATGGGGGAAAGATGAACCATGGGATTTGTAGTTAAAATATATGGATTAGAGTGCTGTTTCTATATTTACTAGCTGAGTGCACTTTGCTGAGTCGCTTGACTTCTTTGAGATTTGTTTTCTCATACGGTAACATGTGGGTGATAAAACATGCTTTATCTGCGTCTCCTTGTGGTTGTATGGATCAGAGGAATCTTGTGACAGCAAAGAGCTTCATAAGCAATTGAGCACTGTACAAATAACACTGTATTCACTGCTTGTAACAACCAAGTCGTCTAGCAGTTTTATACATCTATGTGGTTTATTTTTCGACACTGTAAATAACTTCAACTGTGCTTTAAATTTTCTTCATACATTTTTTTTCAAAAAATATTTTTTTTAATCTTGAAAAAAATATGTTTGATATCTATTTCCTGAGTGTTTTGTTTGTCAAATATGTTGCCCTTCTAACAGTTTTACTTTTACCAAAGTAAAAATAAATGAATTTATGTAAATTAAATAAATTTTCAAACTTAATATGCCAGAAAATTTTTCTTTTATCTTGAGAGTTTTGTACTATCTTTGGATGTTTCTTTCTTTTTTAAAATAATTTTCAAGTCTTTTTATAAGAACAATATTAAGATTTTTAAAAATAGAGCTGCTGAAAATTTTGCAACTGCTCATGATCTTCCTTTGGTAAGTGATTTACCTCAACTGTCAGTTTCGTACTATAAAATGAGCTGCAGGCATAGCTTACTTTTTGCAGAAGATCTATTGGTGAAAATGTGTCATAAGATTTATATGAATTCATTTGAAGGATTCCCATTTATAGAAATAGTAAGATAACTCATAAGTCAAATAACTAGTCTAACAATTATTTTTCATTTGGGTTTCAAAAATAATATTTGTCTGAAATAATTATCTAAATTTAGTATTGGATGAAACCAGAAGGCTTACTCTTTTCAACCACTTATCTAATGTACACAGATTTTATAAGCCTTCTGATAGATGCAGGAGCCGTGGTGGAACGCTGGTTAAGAGCTCAGCTGCTAACGAAAAGGTCAGCAGTTCAAATCCACCCGCCACTCCTTGGAAACTGTATGGGGCAGTTTTACCCTCTCCTATAGGGTCGCTATGAGTCGGAATTGACTCAACAACATTGGGTTTGGTTTTTGGTTTTCTGACAGATGGAAGACTGATTTTCCAGTCTTCATTTACAAGACAGTTTATTCCTATATGGAAATGAGATTAGTAACCGCCTCCCTTTTTTCTGATTCTGCCAATGAGTCTGTTATGAAAATGTCTAATCTTCTTTCTAAATGATTACCTTGCAACACATTTGAACTCAGCTATCATGCCTATTTTTCTATCATATTCCCCCTTCCCAACTAAGTTTTCCCTATCTCCTTCTATTCTTCATTTGATATGATTTCCAGAGTAATCCCCGTTCTAGTCATTCTTCTGACCATGGCCCAGTTGGTTAATATCCTTCTTAAAACATGGCACTTAAAACTGAACAGCCTATTCCAGAAGTAATATTGATCATCCTAGAATACAGATGTGAGAGAGATCAGCTTTTATTTAGGTCTTGGCCTTTCATTTGACATTTGAAAATTAGTAAACTATAACCCTGACTTGCCAGAAAAGTGTTCTACACTAGAAAATATTTATTTTTATAATATAGTCAAACCTCATTATTACTGGGTGCAAGGCAAGTACAAATTTGCATTAAAATATAATTTTTTGTTTTTATTTTAAGAAATACATTTGTTGTGCTTTCAAGTATATATAGTGCAAGAAATTTAGCCAAGAAAGTTCCAGATAAAAATCTGTTAGGTAACTTTTCCTTGACTTTCCTTTTCTTAACTTTTCCTTAGGTAACTTTATAAATCTCTTAGGTAACTTGACTGAGAAAGTATAATCAGATAAAATCTCTTAAGTAATCCCCCCTAAAAGGAGTTTGGAGACCTAATCATTTGAGCAATATTTAGTTGCTGCTTTTTTAGCTCATTTTCCTAAGCATTTACCTTGTGTCGGACACCATAGAAGTCACTTTACGTGTGCTCTTATTTAATCTTTACAGTAGGTGTAATAAACAGCGGAAGGGTAGTAAACCTAGACAGGTTGATACAAAGACATGCTCTAAGTTCGATAGTGTTCTGCCCTTAATGTGAAATATAATACTGTACATTGAATACTTTTCAGGGAAATCGCCGGAAATGGTGTAGGTATGGCAAGAGATGAGTGTAGTTATGTTTATCACTCACCAATTAAACAACGATTTATTAAAAAATGAAGATAATTGTTTTCTGTTAAAGTTTCATCCAGTGTCTTATACACAGCTCTATTCAATACTTTCTTTGATTTTTTTTTTCCCCCCAAAGGATCTCGACATGCACTATGAACCCACAGACACTGCTGCTATGGCTCGGACATCTAATCTGAATGAGGAACTTGGCCAGGTAAACTCAATTTCTTGTTGATATGTTGAATTAGAAGTCAGATTCAGTGTGATTTCTGCCTCATATGGCAACTTAAGATGAATTGACAGTCTCTAATTTTCTATTATTTGAAAAATTGGCATAAATACATTTGCTAGTATATGACTATTAGTTTTCATTTTTAGCAAATAAAGTTTTAAAAATACTATTTAAAGCAGGTTTTGTTCTCAGGATGAAAGATACTGCACAAGCCTAGGGATGTCCTTCAGTATATAGTCTGATTAGTATGTAAAGTGTTGACTATTTGTGAGTTATAAATATACTACAGGTAGTCCCCAACTTAAACTGTATTCGAGTTATGACGAACCGCACTGTTGACTGTCGGTTTTTTGTTTTTGTTTTTTTTGTACATCTTATCATTAGAAATATGTACTACATACAGTGTCGCAGCATGTAATTTGCTGATGTTATCATTCTCAGATGTTCACTCTAAGATGTTCAATTTTATGATTTACTGTTCAAAACACTGCAGTATAGCAGGCTATGGCCTTGTCTACAATGAATTCAGTATCAGTGTTGGTAGTAGTAATGGATAGAAAGTCGGGCTATGTTCAGCTCTAATAAACATGCTGCAAGCAATGAATCAGGATAATATGATGGAAGAGATCATTGGAAAAATTTCCATACGGCAAGAACACTGAATTTAGAACTTGTTATCACCAGTGTGGAATAACTCACAGATCACAGAGAAGGAGAATTGACAGATCAGAACTTGATGGATTTTGAAAAAGAAAGAAATGCTGAAGAAGAAAGAAATAATGAGGAAGAAGTTGTGAAAAAATTTTACAGTGGATTAGCTGGAGTTTTTCTTAACTAAATCAGGGCTTCAGTTGTTTGAAAACATGGATCCAAACGCTGATCACTTTGCTAAAGTCAATAGGTAGGTTTGGGAAGCAGTGAGATGCTACCTCAAAATATATGAAAAAAAAAGAAAAGAAAAGGATCATACAGACAACTCTGACTAATTTTCTGACTAGAACTGCCATCCCCATTCCCAGGGATAATCCAGATGATCCAGAACTTCCCACAAATGGAGTTATTACTGAAACTGACAAAATGCCAGTGTCATCCAACTCTTCTTAATTATCAGAGTAACTTTTTATGATTTGTGTACTTTTTTATGTATGTTGTTGTTGTTAGGTGCTGTTGAGTCGGTTCTGACTCACAGCAACCCTATGTACAACAGAACGAAACACTGTCTGATCCTGCTGTATCCTCAATCCTGGTTATATTTTAGCCCATTGTTGCAGCCACTGTGTCAGTTCATCTCACTGAGGGTCTTCCTCTTTTTTGCTGACCCTCTAATTTACCAAGCATGGTGTCCTTCTCCAGTGACTGATCCTGCCTAATAATATGTCCAAAGTATATGAGACAAAGACTCACTATCCTCGCTTCTAAGGAGCATTCTGACTCTACTTCTTCCAAGACAGATTTGTTTGTTCTTCTGGTAGTCCATGGTATATTCAATAATCTTTGCCAACACGATAATTCAAAGGCATCAATTCTTCTTTGGTCTTCTTTATTCATTATCCAGCTTTTGCATGCATATGAAGCAATACAAAACACCATGGCTTGGGTCAGGCACACCTTAGTCTTCAAGATGACATCTTTGTTTTTTAACACTTCAAAGAGGTCTTTTGCAGCAGATTAGCCCAATGCAATATATCATTTGATTTCTTGACTACTGCTTTCATGAGTATTGATTGTGAATTCAAGTAAAATGAAATCCTTGACAACTTCAATCTTTTCTCCATTTATCATGATCTTGCTTATAGGTCCAGCTGTGAGGATTTTTGTTTTCTTTATATAAAGGTGTAATCCATACTGAAGGCTGTAGTCTTTGATCTTCTTCAATAAGTGCTTCAAATCCTCTTCACTTTCAGCAAGCAAGGTTGTGTTATCTGCATAAGGAGGTTGTTAGTTAGTCTTCCTCCAATCCTGATGCCCCGTTCTTCTTGATATATTGCAACTACTCGGATTATTTGCTCAGCATACAGATTTGAATAAGTATGGTAAAAGAACACAACCCTTAGGCACACTTTTCCCGACTTTAAACCACTCAGTATCCCCTCGTTCTGTCCTAACGATTGCCCCTTGATCTATGTACAGGTTCCACGTGAGCACAATTCCCATTTATGTATGTATGTATGTATTAAAATATATCTAAGTTTATATTAATGTTTCCAACCCCCAAAGACAAATAAAGATCAAATTTTTAAAGAAATGGATAATAAAAGGCAATAATAGTGAAAACTAAAAAGCAAATGAGGTATTCAACTTCCGTCTGAACCTACTTTCGATGGAGTCATGGGAACAGAACTCGATAGTAAGTCAGGGACTACCTGTGTTCACATTTCTCATAGCTTTTATCCAGGAAGGAAGGAAAAGTTCATCAAAGAAGTTGTGTGAGTCTAATAGTAATTGAATAGGAATTTTAGATTTATATTTCATTCTGTACTGATATATGTGTATATATTTGTAACCAATTTATACAAGCCTGCTGAGAAAATATATACATATATTTTTTGGAGGGGGCCACCATTGCTATTTGCCAACTCTTACATTTCAGATAGCATTTAGGCTAGAATTAATCCTTTTTTTAATCAATTCAGGTGTTGATGAAGCTAATTGCACAAGCTGTCTTCAGTTCTACAATTGTTATGTTAAGACATGCTGGTAGAGGTTTTAGTGCTCTATTAATGTTAAGTAGCAGTAATAACACTTTCTAATGCATATTAGGAAAATTTTACTAAAGCAAATCTCTACATGACTATAGCCCTGGTGGCACTGTGGTTAAGAGTTTGGCTGCTAACCAAAGGTCAGCAGTTCGAATCCACCAGCTGCTCCTTGGAAACCCTAACAGACTGTTCTACTCTGTCCTGTAGGGTCACTATGATTTGGAATCGACGGCAACAGATTTGTTTTTTTTTTTTGGTTTGGTTATAGTTTTTCTATTATCTCAATAATCTTTAATATTTGTATATGAAATGATTCATTGCTAAAATACTAAAAAAATAGTTGGAGATATTCCTTGATGAATGCAGAAAGCAGTCAGTTAATAACTGGTACCCCTCCAGTGATACAAAATTGGTGGGAAAAAGTATAATTTTAAGGATTTCTTTCCACTATAAAAGACTGACATAAAAACACTTGAAGTTTTAATGAGAATTTTTTAACTTTTTTAGGTTAAATACATCTTTTCTGACAAAACTGGTACTCTGACCTGCAATGTAATGCAGTTTAAGAAGTGCACCATTGCAGGAGTTGCATATGGGTGAGTTCTTTTCCTTTAATTAGAATATGAAATATACATTTAATTAGTGGTGACGGTTTGCTCCATTTGGGAGAGTTCTACTTATTAGGAGGGATTTTTAATTTAGAAAGCAATTGTTTTAATTCAGCACCCATGCACATTTTGTATTTCATAACTTATTGTTTTCATTTGAAATTACGTGTGAGGTGGAGGCCCTGCCTAATAATTGTTTCAGTGGTTAGAGTTTCTGAAGGTCTCTATCTGGCCCTGGTAATAAGGTACAAACACAGTGCCTTGTACGTTGTCATAAAATCAGAGTACAGCTTGCATGTGGTGAGAAGAATACAGTCTGTCATTGGGCAGTTTTCAAGTTAAAATATTCATTGTCCATTTGATTTGTTGTTTTGTTTTCCTTTTATCTTCTCCCCTCTTTGCAGTCACAGAACAACCTAAATGTCTGGTGGTGGAAAAGAGTCAGGGACACGAAACTCTTAAATCCAAGTGATAATGAATATGTCAAAAACTTTTATCCGCTTATTAATGTCCTTTAGAATGTGCTTATTGAACATTCATTCATTTCTTGCTTCCAGATATGCTTGACTACTTTTTTAAATACATTATAGAGCAATGTGACAAAATTAATTTGTAGAAAACACATGAGCAAATAGTGAACACACTCCTTGTTGATGGACATTGGCCTATTACCAAATTTTCCAACTATCTTTATCTGCAAGTGAGACTGGTGAGTATCAGTCTCTTAGCCATAATAGCATGGGCACTTGCATTTGGGTTTTCTGGCTTGCACCCATTCTCACCCACCACCCTCTGTCATCTAGCAGTAGGCCAGCATAAAAATAGCATATGAAATATTGAAAATGGCTTAGTTAAAACTATAAATAAAGAAGTAACCATTTGGTGAAAAATTCCAAATATGTATGCTTACTTCCATACACAGGATCTAAAAAGAGAAATAGACCAAGGCAGATATTCTTTGGGTTAGGAGAGAGTGTGACTAAAAATGACTTCAAACTATGTGTATAAATGAGTCTAAAATGACATTTGATTGAATGACTTTTCACACTGTGAAAACAGGCTTTCAATTTAAGAAGTACACTATTTCTAGGGCTAGATGCTATTTTGCTTCCTTCTTCTTTATGTGAAGCTCTCCTAACTCCCTTACACAAAAAGAGGCTCTCCTCACTCCTTACCACCCAATCTTAGTTGCTACAGATCACATTGTTTGGTCAATCTACTAGAGGGGCAGAGTTGCAGTCATACTTTTTGACATCTTGTATATTCTACCCACAATTGGCCCACAGGAGAGAAGAAAAAGCCAACTGTGATTCTAGAGTTTATTGTATTATACCTGCTGTAGGATTTGTGTTGATGTTTCTTTTTACACACGTTCTGCATCCATTCATGAATATTATTACTAGAGTGATGTGTTTGATAATTGACGTCTTTTTTTTTTTACTTTGTGCAATTTCTAATTGCATTATACAAGTTCTTAAAATTAGTAACTACTGATAGTAAACTTATCGGAACAGAAAGCTAAAATGAGATGTAGCCTCTCTTTTCCTCTCCCTTTTATCAGATTTTTTTTTTTTTCCTTATTCTTGGAACAGGTCCTAAACACTCCCAGACAGTAATTCTAAATAGAAGTGTTCTTCTTGGTCTGTTGGTGATATCATTATTAACAGCTGTAATAGGAAAGGGTGGGTTTAGAGACTGGTAAATGCTAAAGTAGTATTAAGAGTTAAGTACTGTCATCACGTAGGTTAAGTTCTCAGTGAAACAGATTTCTTCTTGGGTAAATAACATTTCATAATATTGAGGTGCAGTCCAATCAATAAGTTAGAAGACATGAGTTCTAGTCCTAGCTTTGTCACTAATTTACCATGTGATCCTAGACAATTCCTTTTCAAATATTCCCAAGTCTTTAAAAGGAAGATGGTGAGGCCATATGATCTTTAGGGTCTCTTTTCAGATGTGAAATTCTAACATGTTTAAAAAAATGAAAAAACAGGAATTCCTTTGTTTGCAAATATTAACTATATAAACAGAAATATGCTTCCCCTTTGGATGATATATCAGGGTTTCAAGAATACCAGCAGCCAAGTTGAATGAAACTAGTTGTTAAACTGCTTCCGATAATCACATATTGTGTGTGTATATGCTTTTAGGCATCCTTATATGCTTTTAGGCAAACCCTGATTGAGTTTTTATCGACATCCCCTCCCCTAAGCTTCCTGTATCTGGTGAGGATTGGAATGTCAGCATTATAGAGTTGTTGACATATAAAGGCTTTGGAGAAACCATGGCTTCAGACTGCTCATATGTTTTCAGTCATAGACACACCACTGTTACTTAATTCCAGCCAGTCTCCACAGGAAAAAGTAATTACTGGCAACCACCTTTCTGTGGGAATTTCCTCTGGGCACTCTTGAACTATAGGAACCTCGACAGGGAAATAACAGGTTTTGCTATCCCGTTTGCCCCCTAGCAATGTTTAACAGTTGTTTAATATGGGGAACTATTGTATAAGTGTGCTTCCAGCCCTAGCTGAAGAAAGCATGGTGTTTATTCCTCCAGGACATCACCAAGCAGAGGTTTAAAGTAACACAAACTTTTATATACTAACAATTGCTTCTGAGGTTACAAATTCATAGCTGGTGCTTCTTTGGCATTTTTAAGAAGTAAGGTAAAGCTGTTTCATCCTACATAGAGTCAAAAGTAAGTGTTGCTGGGTTTTATCAGTTAGAAAGACAAGACTTGAAGCCTCCTGGTGGTATAACCTTTACCTAGTGCTGTGTATCCATCCCATAAGTTTGTAAGAAGATAGTATTTAACACTTAAAATACTGTTTCAAAAATTTAATCTTAGTGAAATTTCTCTCATTTCACATTATCTTTGCTCCAAATTGGATTCATGATGGGCAACAAAATAAACAGATTTGTGCACACTTACAAATGATGATTGTTTTGTAGAGACCAACCTTGTACCAGATACACTGTTCTTAAACTCATTAGCTTATTTCATTAGATCTTTTTTTTCATGGGACAGTTGTATTTAAAGGTAAATGAATTGTGTATCGTTTGTAAGTTTAACTTATTACAAACTAAAAATTCTACTGCTAAACATTTACTCAAGTATCATTTCAGCAAATTGCTTCCTGGGGGAATAAATCAGTTTTATCACCGTTACTTGAATACCAGAAAGAGCTAAGCAAGCTTTTATGTTTAGTGGCTAGGAATCTCACTGCAGTGAAGATTCTGGGATGCAATGTGAAGTCGCATCTTTTTGGATAATTTATATCTTACTGTTAGAATGAGCTGATGAGCTGGGTGAGACTTAACACTTGATACAATCTCTGAGGTTAATTTTGTTATTGTTTTACTTACATATGAATACAGTCGATGAATAGCTTTACTTGACAATATTTTGTTTAGCAAAGGTTTGCTGAAAGGATCAACTCCTGCTTTAACCCTGAGAAAGGGATTCACCAGGAGAGAAACACCACAATTGTTATAATACTTAGCCCCAGTGTCTAGATTATAAACAACAAGTTTATCTTACTACTCACCAAGACTAGTGGCAGAAGCTGGTGAACACCACTTATTCATTTAGTCACGTACCTCAACAAATGTTTATCAGTCACCGTCTATGTATGCAGCACTTCGTTAGATGATGGGGATATAATGATCAGCAGAAGTTCACATGGTTCCTACTCTCAGTCTTACTAGGGGGCTAATGGATATTAACCAAGTAATCATACAGACAAATATAAAATTCTAACACAGTGCATAGGCCTGTGTGATTTGGTGGATTTGATCTAATTAGGGAGGTCCCTGAATTCTAATGCTGCCTGAGAACGTGATACTTGAGCTGAGATCTAAGGATGATAAGTTTGATTAAGAACTTCCCAGGCAGATATAACAGCACATACCTGCAAACATACCAGGACTACTGGAGCAGCGATCATGGGGCAAATTCATGCAGACAGGATCAGTAACAGGTGTGCAGGTTGCCTGCTGCTCGTCACACTCTGGATAAAACCAAAAAAAACAAACCCATAGCTATCAAGTTGATTCTTACTCATGGTGAGGTAGTGCTCAGCACAATGGCAGAGCTGGACCAGGCTCTGGGAGAAGGACCGTCTCCTCTGGGTTTGGGGGCTGTTAAGCTTCATCACTACTGGAGCACCAGCCTCTCCCCTAATGCAAGGATCAGGGCCTGAGGTACAGCAGCAATGAAAACTGGCAGAACCTTGGCTCAGTGTTGGTTGCTTGGGTAGCGCCAGGCCCTCCCCTAGTTCAGTTGTGGGGCTGCAGTCCAAGCCTTGAGATTGATCAGGAATGATTACCTTGAGCACTGGGTTATAGCCAGTTTCCACAGAGCTTTGCAGTAGGCCAAGTGCATTTCTGGTAGTCCACCCCACAAGGGGCCTGGTTTCCCCTTCCTCTCAGGCATATAAAAAGAAAGCCCTTTGATAAGGAAGAGAATAGTGAGTAAAAGGGACCGCCTCCAGCGTGGTTGGAGTGAAGATAACAGATACTGCACTGGAGCATTTAATGTTTTGGAGGTGCCTTGAAATGGTAAGGCCTAGGTTGTGACCAGGCTGGTGAAAGGTTAAAGAGAGTGGGGTGGTCATTTACGAAATAAAGGATCCCATGAGTTTTCAACAAAGTTTATTGTCTGTTTGTCCAAACAGCAATGACCTTACATTTTTATGAACTTATTTTAAAAGCTCTGTCTGTATCTAATAAATTTAAGGAAAAATATTAAATGAGCATCTATAATGAAAGAAATGGGAAATAAGGAAATTTTGTTTTGTTGTGTAATTTGGGACACTTCCTACTGAATGCATGACTGACTGGTTGAAATGAAATCTATACATTGATCAGACTTTCCTAGTGCTCAAATGAGCTAATGGATAATATTAAAGTATTGATGAATATGTTTGCTGTTTAAAGTAACAAATGCTTGAATTAGTGAATTAGGGTTTAAGTGAAAATTTTTGA